AAGCAACCAACATGAATTTGACACAACTCCGGGAGGCAGTGGAAGATAGGAGGGCCTGGCGTGCTCTGGTCCATGGGGTCACGAAGAGTCGGACACAACTAAACGACTAAACACACATAGTCATGTCATCTTCTGGTTGCTGCACAAGGGTGGAGGTCAGGGTTTCATTTAACTGGGGCTTATTTTTGGGGTAGGCCTTATATGACGAGCATCCTGAAAAATCATACTAGGGCTTATTTTCAGGTTAGGTCTTATTTTGGGGAAAACAGGGGATCTATCCGTCTGTCTGTCTGTCTGTCTGTCTGTCTGTCTGTCTGTCCGTCCGTGAGTCCGTCCGTCTGTCATATCATACCTGCCTCTTCCACACTCAGCTGACTTACTGTGCTGCGGAGGAAGCCCCTGGACACTGGACGGCTTGCCAGCGGAGTGTAAGATTTGTCACATATCAAAGCTGCCTCTTTCACACTCAGCTGACTTATTGTGCTGCAGAGGAAGCCCCTGGACACTGGGCGGCTTGCCAGCGGAGTGTAAGATTTGTCACGTTGTGCCCACTCTGTATTTTCAAGCTCCTCCCAGACAAAAGTAAAGAAGGACAAACCCACTGAGCCCATGGAAAACCAGCATGTTGGGAATAACCTTTGCCCCCTTTAGTAGTTCTTCTGCGTAGGGATCCACGTGGCATTTCCATGCTTCCAAGAGGTAGTATAAGCCTCGCATTGTGGCTAACGGCTAGCATCATCTGTATTTCCTACAGTTTCTCCCCACAATGGGGCTTCCTCAGAGATGTGGGCCTGACCAGCCACGCTTGCAGATTAAGACTGTGTCTACCTTCCAACAAAACCAATCCGAACACAAAGCCTGCCAAACGCCAGACAAACAGGCAAGGGGCATTCCGTGCAATGGCAAACAGACATTTTTCATCATTTGGGAGAGCACCTCTGCAAAACACGTGATACCATTCAATATGGCTCTGAGCCGTACTTGGACTAGGAAAAAAGAGTAACTCTGTTGCCTCCAACTCACGTTTGCCATGTAGAAGGTCATCTAAAATTGTAGCTTATATAAGCAAAACACATGATGAGCCGTACTTGGACTAGGAAAAAAGAGCAACCCTGTTGCCTCCAACTCACGTTTGCCATGTGGAAGGTCATCTAAAATTGTAGCTTATATAACACAAAGCCCGAAGGACTGAACTGACCTTCATGCGCAAGGTATTCATTCTCTATGACCCGAGCTAATCCGAAGTCTGCAACTTTGCAACACAGGGTGTCCGAATGATGAGCCGTACTTGGACTAGGAAAAAAGAGCAACCCTGTTGCCTCCAACTCACGTTTGCCATGTGGAAGGTCATCTAAAATTGTAGCTTATATAACACAAAGCCCGAAGGACTGAACTGACCTTCATGCGCAAGGTATTCATTCTCTATGACCCGAGCTAATCCGAAGTCTGCAACTTTGCAACACAGGGTGTCCGAGACCAGAATGTTGGCAGCTCGGAGGTCTCTGTGGATCGAGTTCATTCTCTCGATGTAGGCCATGCCTTCAGCAACCTGCAAGAACCAAGGACAACGGCTAAATCCAAGTACATTCTAACTCAGTTACATGTATCATGCATGTTTTATTTGGGCCAATCCCTCCAGTTTTGAAAAGGCACCCCTACCACCCGTGTTCTCGTCGTTTGGAGAGGCTTACAGAAACATAAACAAAGCATAAACATAACTTGGAGGGGCGTGAGTTCCTGGGTTCGCCGCTGAGGCTGGATACCCAGAGTTTGGCTATTGCTGGGAGTACCTCTGCATAATTTAAAACTAGTGTGCCAGCTCCACCCATTCCTGGAGCGGTCTGATCTGGCCACCGTGACAGCACGCCATAGTTGCATGCTGGATTACTGCAGTGCATTGTACCCGATAGACAGATGGATAAAACTTTATTACGGTCAAAGACCAGCCACAAATAAAACATTGAAATATATAAATACTGTATACGGAGGTATACAAAAATATTGGGATCAAATGCAAATACTCAGTTCCGAGGTGAACAACAACAGTATCGAAACATCTCCCCTAAAGCAATTCCAAAATTTCTAGCAAACCGTGCTCTAACTACAGAGGCTCATCCGCTTTTTGGGTTTTCTAAGGCCCATTGCAGCAGTCAGAAATTTGGCAACCCTATATGTAAGAATGGGATTGGAGTCAGACAGCAGCACCTGCATACATGGTTGCTCTGTACAACTGGGAAATTGGCCAATCAGAGGGGAGCATTGCACCTGGAATATTATCGTCAAAGATGCTCAGTCCTCCAGGTGAGGTTATCTGGAAGTTGAATCATGGAGACTGGACTTCTTCCTTATTAGGTTGAAATGTGGCGCTGTTTATCCAAGTACAGTGGTGCCTTGCTTAACGATTGCCTCACTTAACAAGGAAATTGCTGTACGATTAGGTTTTTTCAATCGCTTTTGCGATCGCAAAACGATGGTTTAAATGGGGTTTTTCCGCTTTGTGATGATCGGTTCCCTGCTTCGGGAACTGATTTTAGCTTTACGATGATCAGCAAACAGCTGATTGTCAGGTTTCAAAATGGCTGCTGGCTGAAGAAAATGCCCCCCCCGCTGTTTTTAGGGAGGCTTTTTCGCTTAACAGGCACCAGAAAATGGCCGCCGTATGGAGGATCTTCGCTGGATGACCAGGTATTCAGCCCATCAGAACGCACTGAACAGTTTTCAATGCGTTACAATGGGTTTTTTTATTTTGTTTGACGACGTTTTCGCTCTACAGCGATTTCACTGGAATGAATTAACATCG